TTTTCTCAGGCCTTCTAATGGGCTATATTTGATCCAGGTGCGTTAAACCAGGGAGAGAACTAAAACATACAGGATGCTGGCCCTTGAGGACCAATTTTGGGCACCATTGGTTTAAACAATTTCAAGTATTTGTTTGGTTATTACATAATTGGGCTTCCAGCTCATAAAACCCATAAAAACAGGAATTCAAAAATTTTTAATTCTCTGAAGAAATCAGGCCAAATTTTACAGGGCATGAATGTTGTAAATTGAGTGTGACACATTAATCATCTGCTAAACATAAAGCACTACCAGGTGTCATTAAATTGTTTCTGTTATTTCAATTGTCTCAGTTTGATCCAATATGGGAAAGTCTGCAGTCCTATAACAAAGGCCAGAAGACTATCATTGATAGGTAAGTTTGCCGCTAAGGAGGCTGGCCATTCACAGAGTGCTGTGTCCAAGCATATCAATGGAAAGTCTAGTGGAAGGGCAAAATGTGGCAGGAGAAGATGCACCAGCCAAAGAGATGACCATGGACTCCAATAGATTATCAAACCGAGAAAGATTCAAGAATCTGGCAGAAATCCAGAAAAAGTGGAATGAGGTTGGAGTCACAGCATCAAAAACCACCACAATCAGACGCATCCAGGAGATGGACTGCAACTGTCGAGTTTCTTGGGTCAAACCACTTCTGAACCTGAGTCAGCATAGGAAGCGACTCAACTGGGCTAAGGAGAAAAAAAAGCTGGATCACTGGCCAGTGATTCAAGGTCCTCTTTTCCAATTAAAGCAAAGTATGCCTTTTATTTGGTAATGAAGATCTAAGAGTTTAGAGGAGGACAGGTGAGGAACTGAACCCAAACTGCTTGAGGTCCAGTGTGAAATATCCACTGTCAGTCATGATTTGGGGCACATTGTGTTGGTAAACTCTGATTTCTTAAATCCAAGGTCACTGCTACAGTCCAACAGAATGTTTTAAAGGACTTCATGATTCCTTCCGCTGAGAATCTGTATGGAGATGTAGATTTCATCTTCCAACAGGACCTGGCCAATGCACATTGCTGCCAGAAGCAACAAATTATGGTTTGATGCACATGCTATCACAGTGCTTGACTGCCCAGCCAACTCGTTGGACCTAAATTGAGAATCTATGGGGTATTCTCAAGAGGAAAATGAGGGGCACGAGGTCCAACAACAAGTTGGCACGAAGGAAATCTGGGCTTCCATAACTCTCAATGCATCAGGCTGTTTGCCTCAATGCCACATCACATTGAGGCAGTCATTAAAACAAAGAGATTCACAACCAAGTATTGATATTATTTTAATATAATATTTTAATTTGAATGTTTTTTTGTTTTTTTTTTTGCAAAAACTGAACTGTCGTTTAGGCTGATTTCTTCAGAATATTCAAATTTTTTGAATTCCTGTTTTTGTGGAGCTGGAAGCCCAAATTATGTAACAAGAAACAAACAAATACTTGGAATCATTTAAACTGTGGGCCCTGAATCTATAACCTATAAAAGTTTAACTTTTTGAATGGAATTATGGGGCTTAAAGAACTTTTTCATTATATTCTAATATTTTAGGAAGGATGTCTTTCTGGTCTTGTCGAATATGCAATTTCAATCAAAATTGTTGTTAAATAAATCAACAAGAATTGGGTGAAATCTAGTGGCTCATGTGAAAATAAGCAGCCTGGCTTATAGTTAGAAAATAACTACACTGAACAAAAATATAAATGCCCCATGTCAAAGTTAAGAGTTTTATGAACATTTGGGTTACACAATATATAGAAAAACTGAAAATATATTTTCAGTAATTACTGATCTTCATATCAGCATTGATAACATCGTGGTATGGGCATTTGTAGCAGATTGACAGTCCTTTGAACATGATAGGGGTCAGGTTGAGGAATTTGATTTTGAACAAGTTGGCTTCTCCTAGGCGGTTACAGACACTCTGAGGTGTGATGCGTCTGTTGTGCAGACTAATAGTCTCATCAGCTGTGTGTGTCGCTGGTCTTAACCGGTCATGCCTGATGTGGCAATCTTGTGCTGGAGTGGTCACATGTGGCTGATGTGAAGTGCCAGTCTGTTGGAAACAAACTCTTAAACAGCCTATGGTCTGATAATGAACATTACTGCACTGATACTGCTCTGGTGGACATCCCTGCATCCAACATGCCAATGGCATGCTCCCGCATAACTTGTGACATCTGAGGCATTATGACTTGTGACAAAATTTGACATTTCGGGGTGGCCTTTTATTGTCCCCAATACAAGGATTGCCAGTTGTTGCTCATTTTGTCTGATCACCTTACTGGACATGCCCCACCCATGCACTGAGTAATGCTCACTGACAGCAAGTTGGAGTGTCAGATAAGTATTACTTTTGTACAATAAAATGTCAGTAAATGCTCACTTACAGTTGTTAACTCCACCTGGCAACAACATTTGATATGGGGTATTTTTGTTCAGTATATATAAGCCATAGTTATTTTTGGAAGCTGCATACTTGCAGCAGCTTCCAAAATTAACCAGGCCTACATAATGTTTTTGAGCAGCTGGTAAGTTTACTAGTTTAACATGGGTTCTAAGAGAACTGCAACGTCCCACAGATGTGGGACGTTGCAGTAAGTAAGATGACAGCATAATTAATTTCCTTTTCTGTATGGTGGTGGAGTTAACAACTGTAAGTGTTTCTGTATATCTATACAGAAAAGGAAATTAATTATGCTGTCATCTTACTTTTTATGGAGTCTCTGTAGGTTGTTCAATGGATTGCAGATTTGGGTCCCTTTACATGAAAGGAGAAAACCTTCCATTGTTCTTGTCCACTTCACAGTTCCTAGACATCAGAATTTAAGGTCTTTCTTGAGCCACAGTGTAATGTGGCTGCACAAGACTATTTCGAGGCTGGGATACGTTGCACCACCACATTGAGTGCTAGAGGTCCTCCCAAAACGTATGTGGCTTCCATTAACAAGATACAAAGTTTATGTGACTTCTGCAATTTTAGCAGTAGATGGCAGGCTCTGACAGGTTAGATGAAAGAGAGAGCGAGAGAGAGTGAGGAAAAAAGAAAGAGAGAGAGTCTTCAGAATTTGGGACAAATGGACCTAAATAGAGCACCATCCCCTCATGGAGCTGTAATAGTCTTGAAGTTTGTCAGCCTGAGAAGAGCATCAGTATATTGATCCAGCCTTCCACCATCACAGTTGACAATGCTGAAACGCACAGACTCCCTGGAGCTCATATATTACCTAAACTGTATTTATAGGGAACCTAGGACAGTTGTACTCCACAAGGGATCCACCGGCCTTGGCTTCAACATAGTGGGGGGAGAAGATGGAGAAGGCATCTTTGTCTCCTTCATCTTATTAGGCGGCCCAGCGGACCTTAGTGGAGAGTTGAGGCGGGGTGATGAAATCCTATCTGTAAGTACTGAAAATACACTCCGCCTAGTTGTCAAAGAGGAACAGTAACAGTGGGGACTGCCTGTCTTAGACTTTAGGTGATGTTTTGCTTTTATCTGTTCACTGCCTTTGCTCAGTATGAAGTGATTTTTACAACTTCAATCACAGAGGTAACGGAAATAAAAATTTGCTCTTCTGTTGCTTGCTAAATGTTATGTAAAAATATTTAAAGAATGGCTGTTATCTTGTTTTCAAGTACATTTATTCTAACCCTAAACTGTATTGTTTGAACAAAACAGTTTTAACCCAATACAATTTAGGTTAAAACTGTATTGTAGACTCCTTTCAGACAAGCCATTGAATTAACAAATCAATCTTTTTGTAATTCTTGCTGCACCATGATACTTTGTAATATTATCAAAGGAGCTCAGTTAGATCCATTATAACATTTTCAGTTAATCACAATTTTCGATGAGAAATGCTCTACACAACTTAACTATGATAGAATTGACACAACCCTTCAAAGTCTATAATTCAGATATTTATTCTTGCTGTAATAACATTATTAATTATCATTATTATTATTATTACTACATCTTTAACTCTTTAGTTTAAGGTCTTTTCTTAACAAGTCTTCTTGCTGTTTTGTTGTTGTTTTTGTTTTTTTGCCTGTCAGTACATCTTGGCTAAAACACATCTACATCAAGAGTTGTAGCAAACATCAGGAATATATTGTAGACATTTGACAGACTTATGCTTTTAAATAGAATACTGATTAATATTTAATGAAAAGCTTTCTAAACCATTCAGTCATTGTTTAGATGTATTTTTAACTGAAGTATATAAATATAAAAATATAAATAGATTAGTGGACAGAAGAAGCAAAATCCAGTCAAACAAAACTGTTTGTCATTTTGATGTTCTTTATAATAACTTTGCAGATTCCTAGGTCAGTGTGACACCGCATGCGGTTACATTTTTCTCCAGTTACCATCAAGAGATGGTAATTGGAAGATGAAATTAGACAATGTTCTTGTAATGACCTGATTTTTCTGATCTAACAATAACTTTTCTCACTTGACCTCACCTAAATGTCTTTGCACACTATTTTTATACTTTTAAGCAATGTTGTGTCTCTTTTGATGCTACCGTTTTAAACTAACCATGACTATGAATTTCTGTTTATGTAAACATCAGTGTAATGTATTAGAAAAACAGAAATATATTTGATCACATTTTCATTTCATGTTCTTAAATAAAATGATTCTCATTTTATGCTCACTTCTTTCACTCACCATTCTATCCACCACACTGAAGATGAAATGCATTTTATGGCTGTGTATGCTTTAAAAAGAGTTCTTATGAATATGTTTTTGGTAACATCTTGTGAATTGATGCTTTATTAAAACAGGTTAATGGCATTGACCTTCGTGGAGCCACACATGAACAGGCAGCAGCTGCACTGAAAGGAGCCGGGCAGGTGGTCACCATTGTTGCTCAGTACAAACCAGAAGGTTCGTCAGGAACATTTAATTACTCTGGAAGTCCATAAAGC